AACAGCAGCAGCAACAGCAGCAGCAGCAGAAGGGACTTCCCTAGCAGCAGCTACCTTGGCCCGCAGCAGAGCCACACAAGAGCTGCAGCAGCAGGTGCAGCAGCAGAAGAAGGGCTAGCAGCAGCAGCAAGCACAGCAACAGCAGCTGCTGCAGCAGCAGGGGCGGCAGCAGCAGCAAATAACACACAGGGAGACTGCCTGCTGCTGCAGCATGAGGCAAAGGACTTAAAGCGGCAGCAGCAGCAACAGCATATGCAGCAGCAGCAGCAGCAGCAAATGTGACTGCAGCCAAAGCGGAGATGCTGCCGCGCCGTGCTGCAGCAGCAGCAGCGCAGCAGCGCCGCCGACTGCAGCAGCAGCAGCAGCAGTATCAGCAGCAGCAGCAGTATCAGCAGCAGTATCTCCTCCAACAGCAGCTGCTGCTGCGGCATTTCAGCAGCAGCAGAAGTGCCAGAAGCAGCAGCAGCAGCAGCAGCAGCAATACCAGCAGCAGCAGCACCTCATCCTCCCTCTCGAACATACACGCAAGTCGTGCTGCTGGCCAGCGGAGCAGCAGCAGCAGCAGCAGCAGCAACAGCAGCAGCAGCAGCAGCAGCAGCAGGGATCCAGGTGACGGCAGCACCCTAAGCGATTTCTGGGCATTGCAGAGACTCTCTAGCAGCAGCAGCAGCAGCAGCAGCTTTAGCAGCAGCAGCAGCGATAGTTGCAGCAGCGGCAACAGCTTCAGCAGCAGCAACAGCTTCAGCAGCAGCAGCAGCAACAGCTTCAGCAGCAGCAGCAGCAACAACTTCAGCAGCAGCAGCAGCAGCAACTGCAGACAGGAAGGAAAGGTAGTCATGTTCTGCCGGCGGCGTGGCTTCGGCTTTATTCGTAAGCTGCTGCTGCTGCTGCTGCCTTTGCTGCGGCTCCTGCTGCTCTTGCTGCTGCTGCTGCTGCTGCTTCTGTTGCTGCTGCTTTTGCTGCTTTTGATCCTGCTTTTGCTGCTGCTTTTGCTGCTGCTGCTGCTGCCGCTTTTGCTGCTGCCGTTCCTGCTGTTGACGTCGTCGAAGTATACGTGTATCTCAAGGCAGCAGCAGCAGCAGCAGCAGCAGCAGCTGCTGCTGCTGCTGCTGCTACTGCAGCAGCTGCAGCGGCAGCTTGTTAAACGCACCTAGTTTGCTGCTAGGGTTTAGGATTATGAGGGTTTGAGGGTTTAGGGTTTAGCTGCATGGAGGCCTGAGCTGCGTTTTTGCCTCTGGGTCTAATGGCGGTTTAGGGTTTAGGGTTTAGGGTTTAGGGTTTAGGGTTTTGCGCTTTTGCTGGCAGAGCCTGCAGAGGGTGGAGCGGACATTTTCTTCACAGCAGCAGATATAAAGGCAACAACAGGTGCCTTCACGCTGCTGCTGCTGCTGCTGCTGCTGCTGCTGTTGCTGCTGCTGCTGCTGCTGCTGCTGTTGCTGCTGCTGCTGCTGCTGCGATATTGCCGCTGCGTGCGCTTGTGGGGTGTACGTACAGCAGAGGAAAGCGTGCTGTCCGGACGGCGCAAGCGAGCAGCACGAAAGCAAGCAGCAGCAGCTGCTGCTGCTTCCTCGCCTGCTGCTGCTGCTGCTGCTGCTGCTGCTGCTGCTGTTAGCGACCTCAAGGGCCTATCTGCTTCCTTCCGCTGCTGCTGGGACCAGCAGCACGGGGCCCCCCGAGCAGCAGATGTCATTCTGCAGGTCCTTAGCCCCAAGCCTTAGGCCAGCAGCAGCAGCAGCAGCAGCTGCTGCTGCTGCTGCTGCTGCAGCTGCCGCCGCCGCTGCAGCAGCAGCGGCGACTGCTGCTGCTGCTGCTGCTGCTGCGCAGCTTTGAACCGTCTTGCTTCCAGTGTCGTGAGGTGTACAGACACAGCAGCAGTTTGCTGCTCACTTCTGAGTCGCCGCAGCAGCAAAAGTCCTGCTGCAGCACTGCTGCTTAGAGCAGCAGCAGCTGCTGCTGCAGCGGAACCCACAGCAGCAGCAGCAGCAGCAGCAGCTTTGCGTTAAAAGAAGCTTCATACTTTACGCAGCAATAAACATAGAAAGAAAGAGACAGAAGTGTGCAAGCAGCAGCAGCAGCAGCAGGGGCTGCTGTCGGCTGCAGTTGCTGCTGCTGCTGCAGCGGGCCTCGGGGGGCCCCACAAGAAGGACTGCTGCTGCTGCTGCTTCTACCTCAGCTGCTGCTGCTGCTGCATGCGTTTTAATATCATTTTAAATTATTCTAAGGCTTTAGCTTTAGCTCTGCCGTTCTAGCTGCGGCTGCTGCTGCGGAGGCCTCAGCAGCAGCGCTCTGCTGCTGCTCGCCATGTAGCAGCAGCAGCAACAGCAGCAGCAGCAGCAGCAACAGCAGCAGCAAAAACGCCGCAACAACAGCAGTTGCTGCTTTTTAGTTTGAGAGAGGAAGAGGCCAGCTCAGCCTATACCTGCTTCAGCGGCAGGTGAAGCAGCTGCTGCTGCTGTTGCTGCTGCAGCTGCCACTGCAGCAGCAGCAGCTGCTGCTGCTG